GTGTGTGTGCAGTGTTAATGAGATCACTGTGGAAGGTGTGTGTGTGTAGTGTTACTGTAGGGAGACCACTGTGGAAGGTGTGTGTGTGTAGGGTTACTGTAAGAAGATCACTGTGGAAGTGTGTGTGTGTGTTTGTAAATTTTTATGTGTATATATAGTTTCGTGTTTGTGTACGAATTCAGAGTCGACAAGCACGAATACAATGTAAGTTAGTCCGCGGGTGAATAGTTATAGACATGGCTATCGCCAAATATTGCTTAGTAAAACATAGACCTACCATAATGCTATCTGTGTATCCGTGGAATGATCTCGTGAAGTGTAATTTGATTGTTGGTATAGAAATGCTATCGCTTGCGATTCTGTTTTGCGTCACAAGTGGGTGAACACGGATAATAAAAACAGCTAAAGTTGAGAAACAGCTAAAGTTGAAAGCAGTGTAATCTCACGGCTGATCTGCGATATTTACTGCATTTGCTTCAGACGTCAGACTTCAGACTCAAGAGTTCAGACTTATCAGATTCAGAGTGCGGATGGGTCGCGTGGAACTTTATTTCCAGAAAAAGGTGGTTTATTTTTTATGTTTTTTTACAAACAATTGTACAATTTAGGCTATGAAATAACCCCGACTTTATTTGCGCGCCAAAATCATAGCCTTCCAAATTATGCACAAAATCATAGCCTCCTAAATTGAACAACAAAATGTATATATTTAAATAAAAAAGTATACATGTAAATATGTACTCACAGTCGGCCACTCGGCCCAGGGGCCTGGGCCCTGGGGCCCTGGGCTCAGCGCCTCAGCCTCACGAGGGGCCATTTTTATTTATTGTCGAATATTTTACATCATAGCCATAGCCTTCAGCCATAGCCTACTACAATAAATGCCGCAGAAGGCTATTTATGTGTTGTATTTGTTTATCTTTTGATTAGGAGCACAGGCCATAGGGCATAGGGCATAGGGCCACAAATCCACAGTAGGGCATAGGCTGCACATTTTTAAGAATTTGACTCGCATTCCCATAGGGGCGAATGGGCGGATAAAAGAGACGTCCATGAATTATGACGCAGTAGTCACAGCTATTGGAACCTTTAAGAAGCACTAGAGACACGCTGTGCACTACGTTTAAAGTGAACGGGCACCACACACAACTGCGCGACGATGAATGTACAGGCCACCGAGACGCCGAGTCTACCGAGTAAGTCAATTTCAGGCGTATATTTGGTTGGGTTTTTACAATTATCAGCAACTTCGTTGAAAATCGTTTAGTGTTTACGTCAGCCTACCATTAGAATCGTGAGGAGATTCTGGCACAGAAAGTTGTCAAAAACTGACAGTTTGTATGTATACAAATTTACGCATACAGTTGAATCCTTTACGCATAAGAGACCCCTTTGTAACTTATATATGATACATCCATACGTACACATTTATATTTCTATATATTTATGTTTATATATAT